TTTAAAATTAGCATAAGACTCTAATTAATCGGTTGTCTACTCGCAATAGTTACATTTAATTGCTGCTTAACAATGAACTGTGATTTACCCTTAATTTCAATATTTATCATTTTTGGATGGTTCCGACATTCAGACTACAAGTATATTTTATCTATTTTCTGAACGAGTACAACACCACTAAAATGGTACTAACCCAAATGATGACGGCAAGCCTGGGCATATAACTTCAGTTTACTGGCAACATGACCGTCGCCAATCATGTCAAACCACTCATCTACAGGTTCATCGGCGAGTTTCTTAGCAGCCGACTTCCCCACTCGCATTATTCCATCTCTAAGAACTTTGGTGATGGGGCCGTGACGTCCTAGCTTACACAGTTCATAAGTGCTACTCAACTCCCGGAAGAAATTCCTTACACGAGTTAAGATGAAGTCATTCTCGGGAGCTACCACAACATACGCCACATCTCTTGGCAGTGAGTAAGGTTCAAGAAGTAACTTGTCCTAAGCGAGCAAAAAAGTTTGTTGTTTTATATTGCATATTTCAAATTATTTTAATATGCTTTATGTATTGTAATGATACAAAAAGTTGAAATTTTTCTGCTTAACATAATCAAATTTTGTGTTAGAAGCTACTGGAAAAGTTTCTGTCATATATTACAGAGACAACAAGCAACATAATTTATCATTTAATCTAACAATTATTACTTGTGTTATAGTAAATTTACAAAAAAAAAACAATTTATAAGCATAATAGTCAACAGAAAATTGGTCTGTCTTCTTCAGACCATCATGTGCTTCCATATACAAGTACTGTTTGTTCAGACATTCAACGTAATAAATATGCACGTGTAAGTAAATATTAATCTTTCTCTTTGGTGTTAACTTAATTTAGATAACTCACTTCTGTTCCTGGGAGTGAAAAATCACTGTGGATGTGTTCTTGGACCACAGAGAAACTACCAATAACGAAACTGTATCGAAGTTTGACGTGTCAAGTACGTATAATGTGATAAATTTAAATTTAACACGATCACAAAGGCTGGTTTTCTAATGTCACAACTGGGGCAATGTTTCTACGTCGGGGGTCCCAACAGCTGAGGATTTGGAAAGTGTAACATATGACAATTACAAATTCTTGTTTTTAAGGCACAGGATGCCCATATTCATCAAATTGGAGAAAAGAGAAGGGGGACATTACTGGGTTCTTTAAAAAACCTAATGATATATATGAAATATTGGTTATTTCAGCCTAAATTTTTATTATATTTATGGCAGCTAGGCTTAACTTGGCCTCTCTGACCATCATAATTTTTCACTCTAAAAATTAAACTAAAACTTGTGTAAGAATTTCTACTTTTAACAGCATAAGTTACTAAATAGTGCTAAGAAAATGATAAATACATTAATGGTGACCAAGTTAGAAAACTTGCTTACATTATATTTCTAACAGATTATCTTATGTCCAGTTCAGAGTACTAACTGTTTGGATTGGTTTGTTTTGAATTTCACGCAAAACTACACCAGGGCTATCTGCACTAGCCGTCCCTAATTTAGCAATGATAGACAAGAGGGAAGGCAGCTAGTTATCACCACCCACCACCCTTGGGCTACTCTTTTACCAATGAGTAGTGGGATTGACCATCACATTATAACACCTCCACAGCTGAAAGGAGGAGCATGTTTGGTGGGACAGTTTTTCAAACACACAACCCCTCAGATTATGAATCAAGCATCCTAACCACCTGGCCAATGGCCAACTGTTCAGAAGAGACTGTTTCAGATTTGTACCAACTTATCAATATCTGAAAACACTTTTGTATTAGGCAGTATTACGTACACAGGGGGGGGTCATCTTATTTTATACTCAGGTTAAAACAGAATTACATACTCAACATTTGTAAAGTCACAATCACATAGGGGGGGGATTAACCATGAACTATATTTTATTTCTGTAAAATACTATCATATGAACATTAAAATGGTTTTTAAACTGCCTTATAGCTATCAAAACGTCTTTTTTGAGTCAGACGGCAACTTCCACGATACAAATCTAAACTCTTTTTGCAACTATTTATAATTCCAATAAAAGATAAAAGTTTGAGGTGTACAGACCACTCACCCAAAATTTAAGCGTATAAGGAGAAAGAGCTAAGCAGTCCTTATCAGAACCTACTAGTAGTGAAGGTATTGGTTGTGGTTCACACTGATCTTCAGTACCTGGAATGGTTCAAATATTTTGGGTTAGTTCATGAAAGTGTATTAAGTTCTAGCAAAAATATTTGTGTATAAAAAATGCAGACCAAACACTTAAACAAAACTGGTGCTGTGGTAAGTTGGCATATACGAATACATTAACTAAATTTTACTAACAATATTTTTTCTTTACGGAGAGATATATAGAAGTAAGAGATAAACTCTTTATCTTTAGTCAATCAATCCATTAAGTTTCATATCCTGATTAATTAAATTATTAGATTAAAAAACTTCGAGTTAAATCAAGCTATCTGTCATAAAAAGTCGATATAAAACTTTTTTTAGTTCGATACTAGCCTTGTATGTGCAATTAAAAATTAATTAAGTATACTATTTAAACATAAAACATTAAAAAAGTGTTTTCTTATACATTATGTGTACATTTTCTTAAGCAGAAATAAAAGATGGTTTGTTTCAGTTCTATAATGACCATTACGCGGTCTCCGTCACGAAACAATTATCGAATAAACAGAATGTGTTACTTAGGTTACATAAGACACAACCTCTGCCTGCTAGCCTATGAAACTGCCTCCATGTTAACGGCCCAGACACAGTGTAGGCTACTTCAAATAATCCATGCATGATCTTTTTCTGCACTGCTTCCTGCAACAAAGGCTGGATCATTCTCAGAAGACGTAGGACATCCTGGTCGCTGGCTGGTAGTTTTCCTGGTGTTAAAAGAAAAGTTACAATTCTTTTTGTGACCAAAGCGTCCTCTACACACACTTTTACGAAGGACTAGTATAAAGATTAATGTTAAAATCAAACCTTTAGTTGCATAATACATTTACGAGAGATATTTTTCTACAATCAACATATCAGAACTGATGGCATCCTATACAGCTTGAAACTGTAGCTCGACTAGTTTTTAATTATCTTTGAACTAACAGTGAGTCAAAATACCTTGTGCTTACAAATCAAGTGAACTGATTGTGTTCTATTTTTATACTTCCTTAGCTAGTTGTCCAAGTAGCTAGTCGTAACAATTAGTTTGGGTTTTGAATTTTGCACGAAGCTACACAAGGGCTATCTGCACTTACCGTCCCTAATTTAGCAGTGAAAGACTAGAGGGAAGGCAGCTAGTCATCACCAAGCATCACCAACTCTTGGGCTACTCTTTTACCAACCAATAGTGGGATTGACTGTCATAGTATAATGCCCCCACAGCTGAATAGCTTCAACTGGCCCTACATGCTTTACAAAGGCAGAGCAACGATTTAACTAACTTTACTTCAACTGGCCCCCCTACATGCTTTAAACAGACAGAGCAAGGATTTCTGAAGTAAAGTTAGTTAAATCCTTGTTCTGCCTTTGTAAAGCATGTAGTGCCAGTTGAAGTCAATTAGTTAAATCCTTGTTCTGCCTTTATAAAGCATGTAGTGCCAGTTGAAGTCAAGTTAGTTAAATCCTTGTTCTGCATTTGTAAAGCATGTAGTGCCAGTTGAAGTCAAGTTAGTTCTGGCACTACATGCTTATAAAGGCAGAACAAGGATTTAACTAACTTGACTTCAACTGGCACTACATGCTTTACAAAGGCAGAACAAGGATTTAACTAACTTGACTTCAACTGGCACTACATGCTTTACAAAGGCAGAACAAGGATTTAACTAACTTGACTTTAACTACAAAATCAAAATAAATGGCATCCATTAACACTATTACTTCTTTGAATAGTGTATCGATTTTCTGATAAATTATGTAGTTGTTTTTTACCATGTAAAGTTTTAGACCTCTTCATATCAAAATATGTTATCAAGCCATTTATTAGAAATCCTAGGATTAATAAACATGGCTTTATCGATTGATTTCTCATCAAAGTTACAACCAACAGTGGTTTGAAAAAAAAACAGTATGAATAAACCTATTTCACAAGTCTGGTTGTACTGGGACTTTTAGAAGGTTTCAAATACCAATTTCAAAAAGTCTGGTTGTACTGGGACTTTTAGGTTTCAAATACCAATTTCAAAAAGTCTGGTTGTACTGGGACTTTTAGGTTTCAAATACCAATTTCAAAAAGTCTGGTTGTACTGGGACTTTTAGGTTTCAAATACCAATTTCAAAAGTCTGGTTGTACTGGGACTTTTAGGTTTCAAATACCAATTTTAAAAAGTCTGGTTGTACTGGGACTTTTAGAAGGTTTCAATATCCAATTTCATAGGTATGATTGCCCCGCAATCTTTTTCTTGTAATTAAACCCATTTCTGACACCAGCATTCAAACATCTGTAAATCGTGTAGAATTAAAACACCTTACTGAATTTTTTTTTTGTATCATAAGTTCAGTCACATTCATTTACAAATTACTTACAAAGTATCAGTAATATAAGTATACCAGTTAAGATCAAAATGTTTACAAAACTAGCTAAAGGTGGTGATTTAATATATTTTCAGAAGCATATAAAAATGTACATATACTTTTGAAATTAAAAACCTTATCAGAACAAAAACAAGCTGTAGGAATCAAGACTGAAATTTTACACAAGAAAAAAAGTTCATTTTGCTTGAATTGAAGTCCATGTTTATGACCTTTTTAAATTTTAATATCACTGATAACTACTAAATGAGTAATCCTTTAAATAAGGATGTTAACACTAATTTGAAGACCAACTGACAAGTAGAAACATTGAATCTTACATGTAAATGTTCACATGATCTTTAGCAACATCTGCTAAAAAAATACTAGAACAATATATGCTACTTTATTAAATGAATAATGTAGAATTAATTTAGCAGAATACTCAATACTAATTTGAGAGCCAACTAACGTACACGAACCTTGAACTTTTAAATGTTAATATTTATGAAGCTTTTAGCAACAGCTGCTCAGAAAAGTGAGGGTGGGGTGGGGGGATAAACTACTTAATTGAATTAATTTAAGAGACAACTCACGAGACAAAAATGGCCATTTGTGAAGGCAGGATGACTTCAACCTTTCGTCCAGTTTATTATTGTTGATGTTGTCCATCAGCTGGCGGCTACTGTCTAGGGCCAAGAAACAAATGTAACACTCATCCATCAATTCTAAGTGATTCCACAGTGCTATATGACTACTAGCACTCCTCAGTCGGACTGCTTTGCTCAACCACGAGTAGGCGGACTGAACTGTTTGACACTGATTTCGGATCATGTCCAGGACATGGTGGGGTACTCGATTCAGAGCTGCTAGCTCTTTTGTGTCCAATGTTGAGGTTAAAGGCATTGCTCCATTTATTTGATTTCCTTCTCTTTTTACCGAAGCCTCTGATACAGTTCTCGTGCTCCTACGATGATGATTAGGCTCGTACGGAAATCCTGTCACTTCAACTTCATCTTCATAAAACAAACCCGAATGATAACTGAGATGTCTGTTAACAACCGCACTAAAACCACACGTACATTTGTACTGAGGTTCATCGGTAGAAAAAGGCAACATCGAGTCTAACAGGTAGATCCCTGTATCGGCACCTTTAATGTTCATGTTACATACACACAATGTACAGCTAGAGAAGTTGTGGTCCTTGAAAAGGTTAAACATAGAATCTGAGAGGACAAGGTTCACTAATAAACTATGAGCTTCTGGGACAGAGGATACTGTGCTGTTGTCGATGGAATTCAAATGTTTGTTCAGGTATGAAGATGCATTTGATGCAGGTGACTGCAGCTCATAACTCATAGGCACTGACCGCTGGTCAGTCTCAAGAAATAACCGCTCACCTTCAGAGGGAGGCAACGTTGAACTGTGATACCTGAAGAAAAAAACCTCCATCAGAAAAGTTCAATAAAACTACCAAAATGACTGAGATGTGACTATCATACAATACGATTAAGTTAAATGTATACACATGTACATGCTAACAATAGCTTACACATTCATTGTATATCGTTAGTGGCTGTACGTGTATAAAAAAACTAATTACCCTGAATATGCTCAGAGCTTTAGTTACATTTAAAAAGATACTGCACATGTGTGTGTGTGTGTGTGTTAAACTTTCACACAAGTTGGCTACAATAACAACATATTTAATGTTGCCCCATGGATGGAAGTTATGTAAATTCATGATTAATGAAAGGTTAAAACATGAAAAGTTGCTTCCATTATAAGCAATCGTAAAAAATACAAAAATGCCCTATAAAAACTGGGAAATGAAAAGATGACCCTCCTCTTGTGGTATGGATTAGAATGTTTGATAAATATTTTTGCATTAATAAATCTGTTAATCTCTTTAAATATAATAGTACCGTCTGTTGTATGTCCATGTAACTACTTCGCAGGGTGTGGATGGATCTTCAACAAATTTGGTTTGAAGTTTCATTGGGTCCACAGAGAGATGCGTACACATTTTTAATTTTGTGTTGTACAAACAACTTTTATAAGTTAAGCCTACCCTTTACCTAAGTTAAGTGGTATCCCTAACATATTTGTTTTTATTTTTCACACCGGAAATAAATAGGTAATATTTTACTAATTTTTAATTTATGCTTTACAACCTTGAACTCCATTTATTCAAAACCTCCACCACACATATCGCATTACATCAAATGATGTTGTCTGTCTTGCTTTTTACCCATTATACAATTTATTCTTGATAGAATGTTTAGTTCAAACATACAGTTCTTCTTCATCACGTACTGACAGTGGGCTTAGTTTTTGCAGGGCTTCTATATCTACACTACATGATGGTTACTTGTTTGATGCAAAATTCTGGGTTCTACGTACATTGACAACATATGGGAAGAAGGGTTATTTTGACACACATACAGAAACCTGCAATCGGTGCTGAAGCTCATGGCTTTCAGGCATTTAGACCAAGTAAACCTACAGATGGTAACAGCTTACCTTGACGATGGTTGGTCCACTGGGGAGGACACCACCATTGATAAATAACATGGAGAATGAGGCCAGCCAGGTTTGTATGTGCAGTCTGATGACAAGGTAACATTTGGCTGTGATAAACTGGGAAGGTTATTTAAAGGAGCATACCTTGATGAGCTGACAAACCTATACAGAGTGGGAGGTTTGTACACGTATGACCAATCCTAAAAGAAAAACACAAGTTGTCCTCTGTCAAGATGAGAAAAGATAAACAAATTTACGCACTCTTTCTTGCCTAAGTATTACATTACCAAAAACCAGGATAAGAAAATGAGATTTACGATAAACTCTTACTTACTCCAATAGGTTCCATGCCGTAGTTCGGATAGATATCTGTACGATCCTTTAAATATAATGAATCTGCACCATCCATAGTGGTGATGTCACC